CCATTCTCCTCTTGGGATCTTGGGCACGCACGCACATGTGCCCTGCGTGAGTTTAAGGCACCGGGTCCGGGACTCGAACCGTGGTCAATTACATGGGAGTCTGGCAATATAGCCATTATGCCAACTGCTGGTCCCAATATATATTTTTGAAGACTTTTTCCTTGGGGCACAATGCACTCACCAGAGAGAGAGAGAGACAGTGAGAAATGACCCCCCAGAGGAAGGCCACACTGTAGTCCCTTCTCCATTCTTCTCCTGGGATCTTGGGCACACACGTATACACGCCCTGCGAGATTGTCAAGCCACCGGGTCCAGGACTCGAACCGCTGTCGGCCGTGTGGGAGTTCAGTGTCGTAACCACCACACCATCTGCTGGCCCCTTGGATTGATGATGAATAGATGGTAGATAGAGGCACCAATGAACAGAGATGATTGAGAGAGAGAGACAGAGAAATAGAGAGAATTGATTGATAAACATGGTAGCGAGGGCCCAGCAGGTGGTGTGGGGACTAAGGCCCTGGATCCCCCATGGCCGGCTCTACAGTTCAAGTTCCGGATTCAGTGGCTTGAAAAGGACGCTGGGTGTGTGTGTGTGCCCAACATCCCAAGAGGAGAATGGAGGAGAAAGGATTGCGGAGTGGCCATCCCCTCTGGGGGATGCTTGCTCGCTTGCTCTTTCTCTCTCTGTGTCTCTGTCTCTTCCTGGCAAGAGAACAAGCCCAGTGGCAAAACCTAAATAATGAAAAGGAATAAAAAGATGACCGACGTGCTGTGGTCAGGTCAGCCCCGTTTCTGTCCCTCACAGGGAGAGGCGGATCTCCTTATCCACCAGCGATGTCTCCCGGCTCCTCCCGTCTCCAGCCAAGACTCAGGTAGGACTGCGGGTTCCACACTCATTTCCACCCCAGCCACCCCTGCCCTGCCCAAAGCTGGGCTTCCTACAAAAGCGGACCTGGCAAGTGGGGCGCTGTGAGGATCCCTACCTTCCTTCCCTCACCCAGCCTCCCCCTTAGCAGCTAAAGACACTGTCCCTTGCAGCCTTCCTCGGAAACCACGGACGGGGAGCTGACCTCGAAGAAGCCGGCTGTCCAGAAAAAGAAATCGGGCGACGTGTCCTCCGGCGCGGACGCAGGGCTGTCCCCGGTCTCCCAGACCGACTCTAAGTAAGTTTCGGGGAACTTAGGCCAACAAAGGACATCCAGGGTCCCCTACCCAGGCGCCACAGCAGTCGGGTCCCTGAACCCATCCCGTGAACAAAGCACAGCCGAGCAGGCATTCATCAGAAGCCATAGCGGGACCAGCAGTTAGCGTCATGGCTATGTCGCTGGACTCCCACGTAGTCGACCGCAGTTCGTGTCCCGGACCCGGTGGCTTAAAACTCACGCCGGGCGCGTGTGCGTGCGTGCCCAAGATCCCGAGAGGAGAATGGAGGAGAAGGGATTGCAGCGTGGCCATCCCCCCTGGGGGGTGATTTCTCGCTTTCTGTGTCTCTGTCTCTCTCTATCTGTCTGGCGAGCGCACGC